GTGCAGTCTTGTGAGTCTGAACATGTAGGTAAACTGTGACATCCTAGATAAATTAAAATTTTATATGAAATCTGGAACAACCGTATATTGTATGAGATGAGGTTAAAAGTATTCCTGTGTTCCAATAAAAGGAGTAATACCCCTTCTAGGAAAAATAATATACCTTTTTACTAGCTAAATAGTTTGAAATATTATATGGTGTTCTCTCTTTCTATGGTCCAGGTGGAAGAAAAATTGTTGTTTTTCTGCAACAATTTTCTGCACCATGTCCAGGTGTGCTTCTGTTTGATTTGTGTCTGTCATGCTTTGTTCGTATGAATTGGAAAATATTCTTGCATAATCTGCATATTTACTACGTTTGAATGAATATTTATTTAACCTCTGGTAAAAGTTAGCGTCTTACCAGAATGGTTTGCCTGGGATAATTTTGAGCAATGAACACTACTTGGAAGCAGGTATTTCCAAAACGCTTGTCCTTCCTTTCCTCTGCCTTTCCCAGTGTCCACATCAAACAGTGTGCTTTGTTCATTCAAGTATTGGATACTGTGTTTCCTTAGATGAATCAGAGAATACCCAAGTATTCTGAGTTTGTATAGTACAGAGAATCTCCTCCCTGGGAACTTTTGGGAATTGAGAATCAGCTGTTTTCACATGACTTGATGCACTCGGGATCCCTACAGGGTAGGGACGGAGATATGCTCGTTTATATGTGCTTTTGTAATGCTGGGGTGTTCATTAGTCTTCAGAAAGTTTGTCCCCAGCACTCAGGAGACAGGCAGGAGGACTGAGAGTTCAAGTCTTATGTGAGCGACAGAGTATAAGGCTGTCTCAGAAAATCGAGACCAGTTCAGAAACAGGAAAGCCCAGCCTAGTTTACTTAGTGAGTTCCAGAATCTCTGCCCCAGGAAAAATTCCTTGTGAATTCCATCTCAAAGTAGGGGGCTTAATAGGGGCCCGACTCTAAAATTTTCTTTTTTGAACCAGGAAGAGTCCTGGTGCTTGACCACTTTATTCTGTGTGGATTTAAACAAGGATATTATCCTTACTTATCCTTTAACTGAATTTGTTCAGCATATAATAAATCTGACAGTTTTACAGGCCTTGTTTGGAAGATGGCCTGTACTGATAAGAGATAAAGTGCACATTATCACTTGCATGGATTCCGGATGATTAACTAGCTCTAATGCTGTGAGGCTGTTTTGCAAGCAGCAGCTTTGCTGCCTTCCAAGTTAGATGGATGAGTTCCATGAAGAAAAGAGTGCATTCTTTAATTGACTTGAGATTGGACATTTTATATTGCTTTCTGTCATTTGCTGAGAACTTGACTGTGGGCATTGTTCCTCCCTCCCAGAATATTGCTACTTTTAAAAGACGAAACTTGCTGAATTTTGTGGCTCTTCTTCTATCAAGTACATTCAATCTGATATCAAGGAATGGGAGGAAAGGCCTTCCTTCACAGTGAAAGCACTGCTATTGTGTGGCTATTGATAACAAGAATGGACAAATAACAACTTCTTCAGGCTTGTCCTTCACTGCAGCTATCATCTGGTAGAAACCGGTTTGCTCTCACTCACTGTAATTATCCTCAACTACCTCCACTTGTGTCGCCATTGTTTCTGTGATTTACATGAGCAGTCTCTGAGGGACATACTCAAGAATGTTGGAAACATGGAGAAGTGTGCAGGCTCTGTTTGCTTACCCACTTGCAGAATGTGCCTTGAGTATTGTCCACCTCCTGCTTTTATAGTGGAAATTAATTTCAACTTTGATCTACAGAAATATATTAGAACTCATCTCTCCATGTGGTTTATTTTGCTTCTGGTTTTCTTCTGTAAGCCTGAAGACAGAGATTTCATCTATGTCATCTGCCTATGGCATTTCTGCTCTGCCCAGTATCTTGAGCGGTGAGGAAAACAGTGAACTCACCTGGCTCTGCCACATTCTACAGCTGAAATGTTGGCACATGGGGCATGGAAAATGACAGAGAGTCCCTTGGTTCAGAGATCCACAGAGCTGTTCTAGACCCTGACTCTTGAGGCTTGAGTGTTGTCAAACCCACCAAAGAACAGATCACGAGCCTGCCTGCTTCGGGATAGCGGCCATGGCTGGCTGATGTCACACTCCTCCTTGCCCTCCTTCCTGCTTCAGCCGGAAACTACCCACTGCCCTTCCTTGGGGTAGGGGTCCTTATTTATCCTCAGTGATTGGCAGTGAATGGGTGGCCACCTCTTTGACTTGCTGCCCTTCCTCTCCCTCTGCAGTGTAAAGGCTGGTGGATTTGTGTACTTGAGAGATGTACCTTAGGGAAATTACATCAAAAATGTACAATGTAGGAACTTTTATATGTTGAGGAAATGTATTTAAGGAACCATTATGTAATAAAAAGGTAAGATTAGCATATAGGTAAACTCAGGAGGAAACAAATAATGTTTTGTTCAGTTTTGGTTTTTTTTTTTTTTTTTTTTAATTTTGAGAGAGGATTGCTCTGTAGACCAGGCTGGCCTCAGACTCACAGAGATCCGCCTGCGTCTGCCTCTGCTTCGTGAATGCAAAATCAAAAGATGTTTTAATGGTACAAATAGAGTGTTTTTACGTTAATCTGAAGAAGGTACAAATAAGATACAGAAGTGTGCTCCCTGGGTTTTACTGTTTTGGGGGCCAGAATGCACACTATTGGTCCACTCATCTCTTCAAGTCCTGTTGTGGAAATCTGTGAGTGTCGACTGCTCATGGACATTAGATATTGTGTGTAAATTTAAGGTGCACGGCAGTAAAGCCAGTGTTCAGTCCCATACAGGTTCTCTGACTAACACTTATTCTAACCGTTGAGGTCTCTGAGCTTTTTGGTGGTGGGAGTCAGTATTCATGGTGATAGTTATATATAAGTTTTATTTTAAATAAAATATCACCTATATCTACCTATGTGGGGGTTCTTGTTTGTTTTGGGGGGCTTGTTTTTGCTATCTAGTGAAGGTTATACTTTATGCTTGAATCATACTTGTATTTTGATGACTTGTTCACAACCGATTCTAAGGGAATTCCCTAGAATAGTTTGTTGGAAGATTACTAGATGTGAGGTTCTTCCTTGCATGTTGATAAGTAAAATCTTGGGAATTATGGTTCAGAAACAATTAGTAAAAATGAATGTTTGTGGCATGTTGTTTCTTGTACCTCCCATAGTGGCCTGAGTCCCCAAACCTCTGTTGAAAGTCCTTCATCCTAACCTTCATCCTAGCCCGAGCATGTGTTTCTTAAATCTCAGCACAGAAGCGCATGCAGTACAGTAAGAGTGGTGCCTGTATATGAATTAATCCGTTTTGCCCGGTCTTCCGCAACACTCCCTCTGTTCCCCACCACCATGGCCCTCTACAGTTACATGAAAGTAGGGAAAGAATGATCGCACCTTACACAAAAGCCTCCGAAGTTCAGATCTTGTTACTACTGTAGTAGGTGACAGGCGAGTCAGGGAAGAGGCAGGGCCACTAACTAGAGGAGTGACTGCCTCAGCAGTGGCTTAGTGTATGTCCCAGGCCCTGCCCCTTCTGTGGGCAATTTTACTATGGGTGTCAGTGGTAATTCCATTTTGCAGAACATCATTAATGTGCAAGTAGCAATGCGTCTTAAGGTCATGGCTAACCAAGTGGTAAAATTTGGGCCTAAAGGCTAGCCCGTGGCTGCTTGGCAATAGAGGTTTCATAGTCGGCTTTGAATCTGTAAGCTTTAGTACATAGCACTTGTACTAAATGAATACTAACTAAATACAGTTCTTACGCGGCAAAAAACTAAGCAGAGCATTGGACCTTGAGGCTTGGTTACATTGCTCCTACTCGCCTGCCTGCCTGCGGAAGCTCAGGCATCAGTTCTCAGATTGTCCCTCCCATGTGACCTCCTGAATTGAATGTTCCATTGGTGCCACCTCCCTCGTGCTGATGTAGCATTTCTTCATTTTGACTCCCTAAGAACAATTGGCTGTGTAAAACACATGACTCTCAAAAAGATAGGGGGAGAGAGAAAACAACTGGCCCTACTGCCCACTGGATCAGAACAGTGGTCGGAACTGTGGGGCCACTGAGAATGAGGTCTGGGATTATACCCAAGGAGACTGCAGACAATTGGACTGGTAGGTGGCCGTGATGCCTAGTCATTCTCCGCTGATTTCCTTAACTCAACTTGTTTTTTTTCCCCCCCTTGCTCTTGCCGGTGTCTTTCTGAGGTGCTTTGCCCTCTCACCATCTTTTCCTAATGTAGAGAGGAGGAAAAGCCACTTCCAGGAGTAAAGCAGAGCAGCAGTCATTCAGCATGAAGGAGAAAGAGCTCTTTTAGAACTGTCGTTTTATCCTTATATACCTCAGTCACATTTGGCCTTTGGTGATAGCAACTGGACTTGCTGAGTGAAGGAAAGTCAGTCTAGCGGAATGTGAGAAAGGAAGCCATCTTGGGAGGCATAAGAGGGACATGGATTGCCAAGAGAGGAAGAGGGAGGGAGGAGCTGGAGGTAGAGCCTTGAACCTTGAGGGAGGCAGGAAGAACCTCCATTTGAGAGACTCTGCTTTCGATGTTTGTGCAGGACCACTACAAGGGGATGAGGTCTGCCAGGATAACTCTGGAACCCTCCCACTTCCCCAAGCTGTCTGTCACTCCATATTGGCCAACTAAAAACAGGCAGGGAGGATCCCCTTACAACACTTCTCATCTCCATGTGCAGGAGCACCCTTGGAACTGAGGCTCGAGTCTGACCCAAGCTGGCAGAGAACAGCTCATGTGCTGTTGAGCTCAGTGAGGAAGGAGGGTTCATTTCAACCTTTCCATTTGCTCAGCTCTTAAGCACAATTTCAGAAAGACCGGGGACAAAGTTACTTTAATTCTACATTATACATACACATATATCAAAACAGTATGTTGTCAAATTTCTGATTGAAGTCAAAGTTCCTTAAGTATTGGCAAAACAATGTGATACTGTATTGTTCTCTTCATCCCCTTTCACCTGGTTTCTGTTTCAGCTGCTGATATGTGCTCAAGATGAGTGGGATGGGAGAAAATACCTCTGACCCATCCAGGGCAGAGACAAGAAAACGCAAGGAATGTACTGACCAGCTTGGACCCAGGTTAGACTATTGTTTACAGAAAAAAACTGTTGCCTGGTAAAGCATTGTTCATGCTTCTTCATTATTTACTCTCAATTTAAATATTGTGCTTGATTTTTCTCTTTAACAATGAAATTTTTGTATATGGAATAGTTTAAATTTTGAACATATGGATTTTTTTAAGGAAATCTCCCACATACTTGTGTACTGTCCCTTGTGTATTTTACTCTTATAATCAGTTCGTTGTTATAATCTTCGGGTTTTCCATATTTCCTTCTTTATTAGGTCACAAAATGTTGTAACAAATAAATTCTGTAATGAAAAGATTTGATGTTAGTTTGATGCTGAGTTCTTATTTGTCTTATTTTTTTAATGATATGAAGTCTTAAATCCAGTTATTGAGTTGAAAGCAAATTTTGACTCCTTAGTGGATAAAACTGTTAAAACAAGCTATGCCTCTTGTGTGTTGGGGTAGCATTACTAGGCCAACTCTGCATGTAGGCTAACTGCACTGTCACAATCACAAACACATGTCCTCTGTGAATGACTGTTCTGGTGCCAGGAATTTCCTCAGGATGTCATCTGTATATGCAGAATGCTGAAGGTGTAAGGCTACTCATTTGAACCTCGCTTAGATTCATAAAAGATGAGGGAAAACTTTTTGCAGAGAACATTTTAAGATGATGGTGTGCACCCAGGAACACAGTGAAACTGTGATAAACAACGAGGTTAGTATATTTAGAAGCCTCCTAAAATATGGGGACACAGCCCCAAAGTTTGAAGCAGGAGGAATTCAAGACCAAGCTGGGCTATATAGGAGTCGGAGGCCAACCTAGGCTACATAAATAGTTAGATACTATCCCAAAGGATGAGAGCGAAAAGACAAAGTTCAAAAGCTGTTTATAGAGTATGCTGCCCCCTTAGTGAAAACGACGAATTGGAAGAGGAAGAAGCATCTGCATTTGTGGTGTAGGGCAACCAGGAAACAATGATTGTTGGCACGCAGTTGGGTAGTTTAGAGCCATGCAGAAACACCACAACTAAAAGCACTGTGAAAGGAAGAGTTCATACAGCTTACCATTCCAGAGGGACAAGGTTCATCATGGCAGGGAGCTGAGAGCACATCTTCAACCTCAGACAGGAAATGGAGAGAGCAAACTAACTCTGCCTCCTACATACCCACACCAGTGCCTACAACTGGGGCCTGGCATTCAAATGCCTGAGCACATGGGGGGAGGGGGTGCATTTGTCGTTTAAACCACCACAAAGAGAGCCTTTTCAGACTTTTGATATTTTAAATGATTTTTACAATGAAATACCAACAGCACTTCTATAGATTGTGTGATAAAAAGATTAGACAGGACACATTGGGAATGTGAACGGTGCTAATAAGGTTAGGGAGGTCCTTCTAACTCCGCCTCCACACGCCAGCCCTGCTGCAAGCATTTGTGCCTTCAGGTTCCCCAGGATCTGTACACTCCACCTGCTGCTGGCTCTGCCTGCTGCGGGCTCCCAGCATGCTTTGGAGTTCCCTGGGGAGAAAGCAGTTCCAGCAGCTGTGTTGTCTCATTTGGGGCCCCAGTTCTGGTAGCAAGGAGGGAAGCCCTTCCCTGTGGTCTCCTAAGGTCCCTTTCTCATCTCCTCTCATTTATGCTTTTCCCAGCCCCTGAGAGAAAGACTAGGGGAGGAGCCAGCATGGGAACTGGACTCTTGTAAGACTTTCAGCCACCTCCTTCCTGAAACCGTGCTTAATAAACAAGGTGCACATAACGAGTCCTAGAAAACCCTGACCCTCTGCCCTGCCCTGCAGTAATTCACTGGGAAGTCATGGAATCACTATAAGGGAAGAATTGTGTAAAAATCATAGTTTAATTAACTTAGGAAACTAAAACTATTATTTATACTTTAATGTAACAATCCTGGATTTACAAATTTTTAAATTAATATTATATAAATAAGTTGTTAAATGCAAAAACTAAACAACTCAATTTTCTTCCCTTTGGTATTGTTTTGGAGGTCATTAATGGACTTCTCCAATGTGCTCAAACAAGTAATTGTATTATTTTCAAGAAGATCTTTGGAGTTTTGTTAATCTGTCAGATTCAAATGAGAAGATTGTACCAATTTCGATGTTTTTCTTCATTAAAGATCAGCTGAGAACTTTTTAAATTTTTTAAAACTTGTTTGCACTTGCTGGTCATTTGGTCTGGACAGTTAACATGGAGCCCTGGGTCACTTGCACTTTGCTCCAAACTCTACTGGGACTTGATACATTTTCTGTTTGGATTGCAAACATTCTAAAGAAATAAAGATTTGTTTTTATTGCCTTTTGTATTTATAAGAAAAGTTATTGAAATCCATGTATTCCAATTATAACTATGTTAATTAACTTTAATCACCACCTCATAATCATATCTTAAGTAAAATTTTAATTTCTATTAACATAACCCCCCTTCCTTACCTTTACAAAGTCCTGCTCCCTGTCTGGCACCCTGTGAAGTGCAGTGCTAGGCACAGCAATGATAGACCACCCTGACCTAGTTGTGTGAGGCTGGGGGATGAAACACATCCGGGAACAGCCCCACACAGGACAAAAGTGAATTACAACCCATTAGGACATTTACGCCTTTGGTCTTAACTGCTGTAGTTAATAGGCAACTCTGCCATCTGTGTTCGTGTTAGCAGTAGTTTAGCATGTTTATCATTCTCGTAGCAGCTTTTCTCAAATAATCCACATTCCTTCGTAGTCCCAAAAGGAGCACCGAGAAACGTAATCGTGAGCAGGAAAACAAGTACATAGAAGAACTTGCAGAGCTGATTTTTGCAAATTTTAATGATATCGATAACTTCAACTTCAAACCTGACAAATGTGCAATCTTAAAAGAAACTGTGAAGCAGATTCGCCAGATAAAGGAGCAAGGTAAGAGGACTTGGACGGTTTCTGGTCTTCCATGTGTGAGGGTCCTTGAATCTGTTTCTTAGGCCTAAATTATTGATGAGATGATGTCACATTGTGAGATGAATGCAAGTATCACTTTCAGGGGTTTATAAATAGGCTTTATATAAAATTCAGCCATTCCCTGAGGACCAAGGACATGGAGGCGAGCCGGCGATGGAACTTTTCATCTGGTGAACTCAGCTTGGTGCCCCTGGCTCTCCCTGCAGCCCCAGAGTTTTCTCAGCTTGCACAGCAAGTGATTGGCATAATTGCAAGTGAGGAGCCAGTCTGTGATCCCCAAGTAAGGATGCAGGAAGACATGCCCTGGTTCAATATTCAGCATCTGTGATGAAGGCACAGTCCACTGGCAGTGTTTCTGGACTAGAATTTCACATCCTCAGTGATGAAGGCTTGAAAGGCTCCAATCCAGCAAAGAATCCTTTGTGAAGTCAAACACAGTACGTGGCGGCTTCTTCCTGTGGTTTGCTTTTTCCCTGAGATCATTTTATGCTGTTTTTTTTGTTGATATTTTTGCCTACAGAAAACAAATTTAGGATAATATTTTTGAAATCACATTTGACTTTGTAGTGCCAAAAATAAATCTGAGGCATGTATGAACAGTGTCTTGGTGCTCAGGCCTGGCGCATGCTGCTTTCCTTCAGGGCTGGAGATGATTACCTCTTGAAGAAATGCTTTTGATACACTCTCCTGAAATTTATATTTTTAAAAAAACTGCATTTTATGTAATAGTTGAAAAACCAATTTCCGGAAAATAATGTCTTTGTCTTTATAGATGTCCGAGTCTCAAACTGTTTTCCCCCTTGAATCATAAACCTTCCCTCTTAGCATACTATCAAAGTATCATTTCCCATTACTAACCATTGAACTCAGTCATACAGATATAGTACAAACATACATATCAACCCACTGAAAACGTCATTCTTCTGGTTTCTCCTTCAAAATTGTCCTGTTGTAGATTTCAGCCAGTAAGGACCTTCTTATCTCAATATCTATCATGCCCCACCCTACCCTCTCTCGGTTTGCTTTTGGATTTTCCAGTTACCTTTAATCTCATTTTGGATTTTTTTTTTAAACTTTTTTGAGACAGGGTTTTTCTTTAGTTTTGAATCCTGTCCTGGAACTAGCTCTTTTAGACCAGGCTGACCTCTAACCCACAGAGATCTGCCTGCCAAGTACTGAGATTGAAGGTGTGTGCCACTACCGCTGACTCCTTCTTCTTCTTCAACCCCCCCCCCTTTTTTTGGTCAGCAAATGGGCCAAACAATATTCTTAGAATGATTAGGAGACATGTTGGTTGAGTACAACGGATTTTATTATTTTGTTTGCTGATGCAATAGAAAATGTGTTGTAGTTTCATGTTGTAGTTTTATGTTTTAAAACAACCACACACATATTTTCAACCACTGTGAAGTTCTTGCACAACTTTGGTAAATCCCCCTTCCAACTAGAAAACGTGTTAAGATGTGTCATGCTGGTCCTGTGCCATGCCTTAACTACGGTGTTAATCACCAGGCACACACCACAGCCACCCAAGAAGCGGCAATATTGTAAACACCCTGCCACATTATATTCTCAAAGTATTGCTCCTGCAATTTAAAGGCAGTGGGTTTCAAAGTGAGAAGCAAAAGTTAAATGCCAAATACATGAAGGTTAAATAACAAGGACACAAATATTCTTTTAACTTCCCAACTAATCTAATGCTTTAAGAATAATCCTCCTTTAATAATTTTTTAATAATCACATCAGACAGAAGCTGGCTATACACCAGTTTCATGGAAGGGTCCTTTGAACCTGTGCAGAAGTCTCCTCAAATAGCATTGATGGGTGACCACATGTGGGGACAGGGCTGCTGGAGAAAGAGGGCCCTGTGCTAGTTCACCCAGTCGACTCCAGCACTAGGATTAGTAGATGGAGCTTTCCTTCCCACATTAAGCACTTTGTTTTTGAAACAAAGATCTATGAACAGCTACTTCCTCCTCTAGGTGGAAAATGAAAGAAAAGTAACTGGTAGTGGTTATTAGTACCAGTTTTCCAGAGCGGTTTAAAAAATTAAAAATTAAAAAAAAATAGGGGTCAGAGAACTCTCTGGGGATGCATCTGTGGGGCCATGGGCTTTCTCTGTGTAACTGACAGTCAAGCAAGGTTCAGCAGCAGCACAGAAGTCAGTCTTCAGCCCTGCTCTCTCTGTGTCTTCTCTGTCCCTAGTTGTCCCCCCACCAGTCAGCATAAATACAGCCCAGCTACCGTCTTTCCACCATAATCCAAATTTAACTTGTACTTAAGTCAGTCATACTTATCAACCTAAATAAAATTAATTAGGAGTTGAGAAGAAAATATCCATGATATAATAAACCTGCCAGTTTTGTTCAGAGAAGTCAAGCTGCGTCTCAGATGTCATGCTGTGGAAGACTGAGAACACAAGGAGGGCAGGGCTCATCTTGAAGGGACTTCCTAGTGTATGTGTTGGTCTCCTGTCTTGGGTCTTTCCCTCAATTCTCCTTATACCTTGTACATCGAGGAAAGTGGAAAGGCATTTTAAAATGTCCTCAGGACAGTAATTTGGAGGGAGAATTACCAAATGTTTAAATTAATAAGCATTATTTCAGGGATAAAAGTTGATGAAGCCCACCTCTATCAGATGTGGTAATACTTGGAAGGCAGAGGCAGGAGGATCGCCACAAATTTAAGGTTAAAGCTTGGTTTACATAGAGAGTGCTAGACCAGCCAAAGCCACATCATGAAGCCTTGTCTCAAAGACACTCTGGAAGCACCCTGTAGAAATAACAGGGCTTTGATAACAAGGGTTTGAGGTTACTGGTGTGATCACTGAATTTGGGGTCCATTTACATTGTTGGTGTTCTATGGACCCACATCCATAGAGCCTTAGTTATTAACAAGGCAATGAGATAAAGTGAGACTAAATTTTCTTTTGATAAGTTTTAATAGCAGCTAGTACTTACTGTATGTTGGGTGCCCTGTTATATACTTGGGTTTGGCTACCTATTTAATACCTCAAACAACCATAGAAAGCAGCAGTTTTATTCTTTTCCCATTTCCAGATGGGAAACCTGACTCATGGGATGGTTAGTATAGCAAAATCACATGTTCTATGGGAAAGCAGGGGTGAAATCCCGGCATCCTAGCCCTAAACCACCTTTGGCTATTACAACACTTCTTAGTATTGACGTATGGTGTTTCTTTGTCTTCTAGTGTAGTGGTGCTTAAAGTTTCTGCCTTCTTTCTAAACTTAGAAAAGGTTGTCCTTAGTAGAACATACCCACTTTTTTCAAGTGGGGGTGGGGGTGTCTATTGCTAAATTCTACAGATTTGGTTTTGGGTTACTATGTACATTATCATTTCCTTTAGCAGAAAATACATAGTGATGCCTATTCATGTTATTAAAACTATAATCAAAGTGTAAAATGGCTAGAAAAGTTGAGAATTTTAAAGTTAAACACATTTCCTCTATTTAGAGTAATGTCTATTCTGTTACACTGAAGAAGTCACACTTTTTTTTAAAGAAAACTAGCTAAAAGCGAGCTTTATTATTTGAAAATTATATTAGTCTATGGGCGTGGTAATGCAGACCTATAATCACGGCCTCTTGGGCGCTAAAGGCCAGGGGATCAGGCATTCACATGTGTTACATAGTGAATGTGATACATAGTGTATCTGAAACCAGCCAGGGCTATATGAGACACTGTATTTTTTTAAAAAAAAAATCATTGAAATCCAATGTGTTGGATTATATTTGGATTTCTTTCTCAGTTAGTAGAGAATTGGTTTCAGACTTTGGTTTAAAGTAGTATTGGCGACTATCAACAAAAATGAGGAGGCGCATATCAATTATTGTGCATATATACAGATCTTCTAAATTTTTAACTATAATCATATTAGACTAGATAGATAAACATTAGTGAAAATGTTATCTAATGATAACATTTTACTCTGTGGTGCTGACATGAGAATGTGCGATTCTCAGTTATACAAACATAATTTTTCTCTGTGCGATTCTCAGTTATACAAACATAATTTTTCTCTAATACGGTAGCATCACAAAGTGAAGTAGTATCTGGAGGCAGGAAGGGGGTGGCAGGGACATAGTTGTGCATAACTTTAATCCCAGTACTCTGGAACCAGAAGTAGGCAGATCAGTGAGTTCAAGGACTGCACAGTCCCCATAGGGAGTTCTAGGACAACCAAGGTCCTGTCTCACAATAATTTGTTTTTAAAATTAAGCCAGCCAGTTGTAAAGCACAGTCATTGTTGATAACCATATATATATGTGAAGGGTTTTTTAAGAAACAAAAGTAGCAAAAATGACATTCAAGGTTTCTCACTTCTCTGCTGCACTGCACTGGGATGTGCCCTAGAGGTTGTGCCTTGTGCCTCCATGGCTGGAGTTCCGTCTAGTGGTACCTGCTGTGCATCACAGCCAAGACCAGTGGTGTGACATGGTCCACCATGAGTGGAATATTCTGACCACAGGGCTGGGACACTAGAGTTTGTGATTTGTTGGTGTTTGTAACTTCCAACTTCTTAACTGTATAGGTAACTGGCACATGATTAACATAGCATAAAAGTTATTCGTGGATCAACAATTATACTTGTGGATATGGTACACCATTATTTCTCCTGTCTTACTCAGTAATTTAAATGGAAACTAACCAATAGCCATACTCTTTCATCAGTTGTAATCAGAGGGTAGCTACAGTACAAATATTTACCAAAAATCAATGGAAATATTCTCTGAGAGTCAAATGGTTACGTGATAGTTACAATAATGAGAGTTGTATATGTTATTCTCATCTTTAATTTATGCACTCATATACCTTTATGCCACTGAAGAGGGAAATGTAGGTAAATCAAAGTAGAGGAAGTAGTAATGGAAGTGACCTAACTGTAGCATTTACAAGCAATGTGCAGAACTGTTAAACTTACACTTTTCTTCTTGTCTGCTC